CTCCACACACCATGCCCCGCAGCCACGCGCCAACCCCCATGCAGCCACCCACCACACCCCCACGAGTGCAAAGCAGCAGGAAGGAGTGGGGTGTAACGGGGCATGACCCAGAGCAGCAGGGAAGTGGCGTATGACCCAGAGTAGTGGTGGGATGGGGAGGGAGCAGGGCAGGACCCAGAGTGGCAGCTGGACAGGGGGAGCGGGGCAGGACCCAAAGAGGTGGCAGGACAGGGTGGAGTAGAGCTGGACCTGGAGCGGCGGGGGGAGGGCATGGGGCCAGAAGCAGGTCTCCGTCCCCACCCGTCATTCATAACGGGCAGTGGATTAACCATTTTTTATCATTTTTTAACTTTCAACATACCTTCGCCCCTCTCAGCAGTGCCCCCCTCCATTCTTTCTGCCCCATTTCCCCAAATCTTTGTATTTAAATGACTTTAATTCTTTATAGTTAGTACCATTATTCCTTTATATTTAGTACCTTGCTCTCTGGAAGGCCATCCATACGATCTGGCAAAGTTTGTCACCTATGAAAGATTATGCCTTCCTGAATGAGTTAGTCTCAAAGGTTCCACTGTGCCCTACCTTCTGCTTGACTTCAGACTTAACTCAGCTAACTACCTCTGTTAGATATACTTATGAGATGCTATATAAATACTGTGTCCCTCACTCACTGACATTGTACTGAATATTATATTGTTTTCTCTGTTAGTGTCAATGTTATATGCACTAGGATTGCTTTTCTCCTGCTCTTTTCAATACCAGCTCATGTTACAGTTGTTCCCACTGTCCTACACATTGAATCTAGATATCTTAAAATAACTGAACAAAGGATTTTATGTTCTTATGTACGTTTCTCTTTGTCACATGCATCTTGTGCTGTCGTAACACCCAGCTTTGGGGAAATCCAAATCTGAACCTACTGAAGTACAAGACAAGACAGTTCTGGTATTGACCTTAGTAGGGTCACCTCTTACTGGTTTACACAAGGTCCTTTAGGCACTACACTGAGCATCCTGTCCATTAATATGGTAATGACAATAACATACAAAAGCAGAAGCCTCATTGTTCATATGTGGTGTTATCCAAGCCTGAGTGAGTGAGAGTCTTCCTTTTTCTTAACTAGTATCTCTGCATGACTAAGTGGTACAAATTAATTTTTTGACAAGTCCCAGCCTCATTTTGAGACAGAAACTATAGAGAACTGAATGTGTTATGCTATAAAACCCTAAATTGTACTTACTTTGTCCTAATACAGTGCTCAAGGGGAGGAATAAGATCATTTTCTTTATCTTCATTATAATTCTGAGTTGTATCTGTAGAGACAGTTTTAGGCATAGTCATTGTCATCAGCATCATCAATAACAGCATAACGGTAACGCCTAAAGGTCCTAATTATAGGGCCCACAGCCCATTATGGGGTCCCACAGCTTCATGTCTGATAGAAACATGAGGCAGAAAGACACCTACTGTCCCCCAAAGCACCTACAATGCAAGTAGCCCATCTCATGGCAGATCAAATACTGTCACAGTACAGATTTCCATCAGAATGGGTCTGGTATTGTAATGAAATGCAGTTTGAAGGGAAGTGGGAGAAGCCAACAGACACAAAGCATGCCTCCTTCCCTTACAGTAACTGGGGTTCCCCAAGCTACACGGTTCACTCTTGGTACACACGTGCCCCACAACCACAAGACCAGATTCTTTTGAAGAGCGAGATCTGTTGGGACCAGGACTGCACCTTGCACTCAGATCTGTTGCCACGTGCGAGCCATATGAGAATATAACTCCAACTAGCAGGGACCGACGCCAAGCCGTGGAACCTGTGTGTACATGTACCTTTTCATTCTGCGATACATTGGAGCAGAATCGATTAATCGAATCCGCTTCGCATGAGAGCTGACACTCGCTGCGCTGCATCGCGTGCAGTTGTCTAAGCGGCGAAATGCAAGTCAGCACGCAGAAAAAGGTGGCGGTGCGCTTTTGAACTAAAGCACCTCTGATTTATTTTAGTTCAAAAGCGTGCTGCCGCCGTTTCCTCAGCATTGGCGTGCATTTTGCCATTTATACAAATATATGTGCCGCGGTGCAAGCATGTGTGCAAATGCCCACAGTTACTGCAGGATAAGTAGAGTTCGGGTGTTCCTGTAACCATGATGGTCCAGGAAAATGCAAAAGCCAGAGATTTTCTGTGTGATCTCCTTTATTGAACCAACTGGACAGCTGGGAGGGATACAGACAGGCTTTAGAGTATGAATTACCCTTCCTTGGATCTCTGGAAAAATAGCAGACATGGCTTGAGATAAGGAACAAAAGCCTGTAACTGCGATATCTCCTAGATATAACTCAAGCTGTGTGTCTTTTTGTTTCTCAGAGACCTAAGGTTCCCCCTCAACTGTACAGTTGGTCCAATAAAAAAATGTCACCAACAAAAATCCTTGCATCTTGCAAGGTAAGTAACTATTTTTCCTCCTTTGAGTGAAAGTCCACACAGATTCCAGTCTCGGTGTCTATCACAACAGGCCTGGGTTTAGGGGTACCAGATGGCCATCCTGTTATCTCAATAAAATGGACAAAAAGAGCCTGGTTTGTTTAGCCTAGCAAAACCAGGGCTGTGAGGGCACATGATTGCTGCCTATAAATACCCCAGGGTGTAAATATGAGGGAGGGAGAAATGCTCCCTAAAGACAGGATGCTGTTAACTCAAGAAAAACTGTCATGAATAAATTTGGCCTGGAAATGAGGGAGGAAAAAAAAATTCCTACCCATAAGGGTAGTGGGGTTCCAGAAAAATTTGGAGCCATGGGGTGAGAAACCCTAACCAGGTTGAAGGTAGACTTTGACCAGTTTATGAATAAGACTCCATTGCCTAAGATAGCAGACAGCTGGACTCGATGATCCAACCCACTGCTAGATTTCTAGACGTGTTTGCTCCAAGGGCAGTTCAGGAAAGGACTTGAGCTATATTTATGGCAGATATTCTGTTCTCTGCAGCGATTCAAATGGAGCACTAGGATTGCTCTGACTGTCCGGCGCCCTCTCTATCTACATCCCATGGAGAGGTGGATATATATGAGTCTGCAGAACTTGCTTTATGCTATGTATCGTCAGAAGAAATACAGCAATGAAGGAGAATAGGAGATTCATCCGCAAAATATGTATGGCCGTAGGAGTCTGTGTTGATTCACGTGTTGGGCATTGACAATCGGTTGATTAAGGTCAAACCACACTATGTGAATAATGCATGCTCCCTGCTTGTTATCTGTAGCGTGATGTAGGGCATTTTAGGTTTGTTTTCATAATGTGCCTAAAGGTTGTGGTGTATGAGGGGCCAGAGTGGACAATTTTTAGCAAACCTTGGGTTTAAATTGCCTGTGAACACAAGGGACTGGACTTGGTAGCTCTTGCAGTTCTTAAATTCCTATGGTTTATGGTTTTGAAAACCCTGAGCCTCCACATTACTCTGAAATGAGCCATTCTTTATTTTAACTATTTAAGGAACACTAATCAAAGGCATTGTCTTCTCACCTCCTGCTCTCATGAACTCTGATACATACCAACAGTTAGCCGTATTTCTTCTTCTTGATTGGCCAAGCCATCATAGTAATATAGATCGAACTGCCGTTCTGTTCTCCAGTCACCCAGTAAGTCCTTTTGCAAGCAAAACAGCACGCTGAAGTGGCTTTCACTGCACACCAACCAAATCGGATACTTAGGGGTCTTCAAGTAGCAGCCAACCTATTTAAAGATAGAGAACATGAACAACTGAACAAAATGAAACAGCATGATTGTGCAGAGTAATAATATTAGGTGTGCTTACATATCATGGTCTCTAAACATTAACGATGGCACATAATATACCATGGAAGGAGGTAAAAATTTAAATAATAGATAAAAATATAAAAAATAGTATATAAATAAAATATATTATAGTATATATAGTATATATAAAAAATAATAAAAATAGTTCCCTATTTTTACAGGCAGGTAATCTGAGGCACAATTCAATTAAGTAATTTGCCAAAAGCTACCCATGCACCCAATAGAAAACCTTCTATTGTTTTTTGGGGGATTTACTGGTTTATTCAGGACTTCAACATCAAGGAGAACCCAATTACCATTCAATAGCAACTAAATCACATTGAGTTTTGCATCATGTTCTTATTCTTTTGTTGTATTTTTTGCCTCATGTGTAATAACAGACACAGGGGAAAACAAAATCCCTGCCATGGAGAATTTACAATCTAATATATTTCACTTAGGTCCATTATTAAATAGATCCTCATATTCAGGATCTTTTTTAACAGCCAGAATAAAACATAAAAAGGTGTGTTTAATTTTGGATTGTTCTTTTTACTCGAAGGTAGAGTAAAATAAATGCATTATTATATAGTCTCCGGAAGTTGTTCAGGGAAACTAAAATATAACTTCTCATTTTAAACAGAATGGCTTTTATTATCTCTGTTATAATTTCTATTGTGGTAGTACCGAGAAACCCATTTTTTGTGCTAGGGGCTGTACAAATATTAACTTAAGAACTGCTCAATGTTAGAATGATTTTCAGGAGCCTGTTACTTTTTCCTATGTGCTACTTTTACCGTTTTTTTTAAATTGGGAATTTAATCTGTCTATTAGTGGTGTTTGGTAGATAAGCATTGAGCCAACGGCTTCCATTTAATCATAGGTTTTATGCCACTTCTATCTCTGCAAATCTGCCATATTGACTTTACAAATCCATGTGCAAAGAGACCAAAGAAAAATAGGGCTGGAAGCAACCTCAGGAAGTCCAACCCCCTGCTCAAGGCAGAGTCATCATGGACTAAAGCATCCAAGACAAGTGTCTGTCTAACCTGATTTTCCCAGAACCGCTCATCCTAGCCTTGAAACAAGAACTGAACCTCACTAACCTCATCAACAGAAGCAAACTTCCTACAGCCGAAAACACACAATGTGGATCCAAACCATGCCCTGACAAGAAATGCAAAACCTGCCAACATATCTCCACCCCCGCCACAATTGCCACACCCCACAACAGACCATCACCATTCCTGGATCCTACACCTGCACCTCCAGAAATGTACTATGTCTCATCCAATGCACCAAATGCCCTGATGGAAAACACGTAGGAGACCAAACAACAACTGTGCACCAGAATGAATGCACACCGGAAATCCATCAAAATCATGAATACCCTGTGTTCAGTTTTGGGCCCCTGCTACAGAAAGGATGTGGACAAAATTGGAGAGAGTCCAGTGGAGGCCATCTAAAACGGTTTGGGGGCTGTGGGGACATGACTTATGAAGGAACTGGGCTTATTTAGTCTGGAGAAGAGAAAACAGGGGAGGATTTACTAGCAGCCTTCATCTCCCTGCAGGGGAGCTGCAAAGAAGATGGAGCTGGACTGTCCTCAGTGGTGGCAGATGCCAGAACGAGGAGCAATGGGTATAAGTTGCAGCAGGGGAAGTTTAGATGAGATATTAAGAAGAATTTTCTCACTTGGAGGCTAGTAAAGCCCTGGAACAGGTTACCCGGAGAGGTGGTGGACTCTCCATCCTTGGAGGTTTTTAAGACCCAGCTAGACAAAGCCTTGGCTGGGATGATATAGTTGGGGACGGTCCTGCCTCGAGCAGGGGGTTGGACTAGATGTGACCTCCTGAGGTCCCTTCCGAAGCTAACTTTCTATGATTTTATGATTAGGACTAGATCCTCAGCTAATTTAATTGACAAAACATCATCAGATACTCTGTAGTTATATTATGCTGAATATACCTGTCTCTATAAATGCCTATACATTTATGGAATTGAAATCTTCATCCTTCATCACATAAAATAGTGACCAACCGAAGAATACAATCTTTCCATGTAACAGGAAACTTTGTCTATTGTCAGAGATAGGATTCTCAACTAGAGGGACTTTGAGCCTAAAATGGTATGGCAATCACTTTATGCTTAGGTTCCTAGGATTGAGTGAAGATGTTTCAACAAGGTTTTAATGGTTAATGAGTCATCCACGCGCTTTACCACGATCATTGTTGTACACATTGCATATACACTACAGCCCACAATTCTCTAGGCACATTGCCTATAAACACCAACGTGAGATGAGCTGCAGATCTGCACACACTGTATAGGCCATAGATTGATAATCATCTAAACAATCTCAGCAATGAGGGTTATGCACTTTTGTTATTAAGATACAGATTTAATATATGAAATGTTATACAAGTACCAAATCAAATATCTTCTCAAGTTCCTTCTGATGTTAAATAACAATTCTCTAGCTAATTAGGTAACTGTGCTCTGACTCATTACTTTGTTAGTGTCTATTTAAAACATCCTCTTATACAAGTGCTTTGCTTTTTTAGGGTAAATTCTTGCAAACTTAAAAGCTAAAGGATAAAAAAAAGCCTAAATCATAAAAGGAGTAACAATAAGGGAAGTACAAAAGATTTCAAATTAAGGGGAAATTGATGAAACAATTTAACTTTAAAAACATTCATGTTTTTGTCTTCATGTAAATAAAAGAAAAATGCCAGCAGTCACTCATCTCCCTTTTTTCTCATGGACGTCTGCTAAAATAAATTCCAAACGTCACCAAACATGTGCCAAAGTGAGATTAAACAATATAAGACCATTTCAAAGCAGTGGTTCAGTTCTGCTGTTACGCACCCGAGTCAGCCGATCACAGTCAATGGAGCCGCTCATGTAAGTAAGTTCAGCAGATCTAGGACTCACAGAGATGCCATTTTTTAATACAAATGCTTGTACCAGGAATTCAAAGCCGATGTTGCCCCAAAGAGCGTCAGCACTTCAGGGTGAATTGTTACATTCTGTGAATTAGGAGGGGTTTGGTCAATTAAATTAATTGAGGACCTAGTTGCAATGGCACCGTACAACACTGTGGTTTACAGGAGTTGTAATCAAGGACATTTTTTTTTTTAAAAGGCAGGCTCAAGACAAAAGGTCCCTTCCTTTCCGATTTGAAACCAATATCCAATAACATAATCAGGAGTTCAATACTGTACACCAAGGGTCAACAGCCTATGGCCTGCAGAGCCATGGATTCAGCCTGCAGATGTGGGCAGCCTTCAGTGGTGCTGGGCTTTTCTTGTACAGCTGGGCAGCAGGAAGAAGTGTTGCAGGCAGCTAGATCCTACCGCCCACCCACCTCAGGTCTGAGCTGGGTCGTTCAACCCCCCGGAGCAGAAAACATTGCCGAATCCTGCAATACGCTAATGGTGGGATTTCCAAATGCACTCATACTTAATAACGTGAACACCCCAGCAGACTTTGATGGGTGAAGCATCAGGCCAATACTGAGGCTTTGGGCCCTTCTTACCATTATTGTTTGATATAGTCACCTTCAACCAAAGCATGGTTTTTTGATTCTTCCGGCATTAAGCAAAAAGAGATGGCTGCTTCCCTAGTGCCTCTTGCTGGACAAACAAGCTTGCCTCAGTTTCCCTCCCCAGCAAGTAAGACATGTATGCTCTTCTGAGGCTTCGCTCTCAGGAAATCTCTCTTTATGCATTGAAATCGCAGAGGCCGAGATCTGGCACTGGGACCTATTGTTATGTTTGTTCAGGCCCATAACATTTTCCATTGTTTATTTCAGTGCACAGAATGGGTAGGAGCTCACGTTGAACCCGCTGAAGGCCATAATGCATCCGTTTTCAAATATGTCATTGTTCCTAACAGATGCTCATTAATCTATCACAGAAAAAAAGACTGGGGGCAGGAACGCAGCAAACTAGATGTCGACTTACGCTGCCTGTTTACAATGCTAGTAAAGGCTCCCCAGCCCTTCTCCTCTCCCTCACAAATCCCTAAGCGCGCTCATAAATTTCACGGAGGCAATTTTCATCCTTGGAAAATGTCAGCCTTTCAAAAGAGAGCACCTGCAAAGAAAGGCTCATTTTCAACTCGATGGGTGGTCTTTCTACATGTCTGACTTAATTTCATACTTGCATAATGGCACATTTAACTCTCCCATCCCATATTTACTGTGGCAGAGACATTTCTAAATCTTCATCTATTTCCCTGCGTGTGTTTTATCTTCTTATTCAACATGACGGCGTTCTGGCTCAGTTTACTTCCAAGGAAATAAGGATGAAACAGCATTATTCCTCTGCTCTTAGTGCTTCGGCAAATCTCACGAGTTGAAGAGGAACAAATGAATCGTCTCATTGTTCCTTATAATGCCTAGGATTCAGCAGAGAACGGAAGGGAATATATATAAAAAAAAAAAAGTGACTGAATTGTCATGCTTGATGTGGTTGCTTTTCTAATTCAATAAATTTTGTAGTGATTTAGCATCATTTTGCAATGCTTTTTCTTGCTCTATTTTTGTTTTTTGTTTTTAATTTAAATTGCATCTATATTTTGATGTACTTACTGGCATTTCTTGCCTTATTTCTGTTTGCTTGCGTGCAACTGGAATATGCTTGCTAAGTGATCGACTCGAGAGTGCTACTGAGCTCGGTAGTGCTCCCTATGGATGCGAAGGTCTATTTCCCTTTGAACAAGGGCGCAGCTTGCTAACTTGGTAATGGTTAGTTAAAAATATTCTCTTGATGCATCTGAACTCAATGGGAGTCACTTGCCTGGCTGTGATTACTCATGCCGTATGGTTTATAGGATAAGGGACATTGTCTGTTCGGTCAACAAATGTTTCTGTTAAAATGA